CAAACAGCTTTTGTTGAAAAATGGGGGTGCTAATGTTTAGCTAAGCTAGAGGGCTACCATGAGAGTTAACAGTTCATCAGGAAACAGCTCATTAGGGAAGGAAAAAAGAAGCTAATTCAGCCACAGACTTAAAGGCAAATCATTTTCAAAAGAAGATGGCTCTACTATTCGGCAGCACTGTGTCCCCCTCTGACCCAATGGCACTGGGGAGACGGGGTTAAAGCAATATTTACATTTTACCATAGAAGTAGACACTGATTCAAAGCTCTGTTCTCAACCCTGTGCAATTACCTCATATGCTCTGTTATCGATCCCATGTAACCCCAGGTACCTTTCAGAAAAGGCAGAAGCTAGAAAAGAAATAAAGAAAACAAACTGTTTTTACCTGATTTCACAGTGTGCCACATCAAACCGTTAAAAAAATAAAAGCCACATTTTTTAACTCGGCTTTCGTCATAAGATAATGTATATAGTATAATAGAAAACTGTGAAGCATTAGTTAGTGAATCAATCTGTGATCACATTGATGGGGAGACCAAGTTAATTCTAATAAAGATATTGTCAAAACAAGTCTGCAACTCAAAGGCCCCATCATAGACACCTGCTATGTTATTCCCTACACCGTTTTGCATTATCAATGTGTACTTCCAGGTGTTAGCAGAGCCCTCCAGTGGCTAAGTTATCACGTCCTGAATGCAATGAAACATAATCAGACCTATCTTGGTCATTAGCAGCATTTGGGGTTCAGTTCTGCTTTCCTTGAATGCAGTGCAACACTTCTCGGTGACTGCAGTAAAGGTTGCACTGCATGGTTCGAACACCATCGACTCTAGTGGAGTTTCTCCTGATTTACACCCAGACGACATGGGAGATAATCACACACATCCCTCCATTCCCTCTTGGGCAGGCAAGAGGAGAGAGGGAGGCTGCTGTGGCTTCTGGCAGGGAGGAAAATAGTTATACAGGTCTAGAAGGTGGCCTGCATTCATCTCTTCCGTGAACAAACAGACATAAACCTAGCTTCCTTGCAGTTTTGGAAAAAGAGCTCAATTGTGAGTCCCCAGTGAGCTGGCAGGAGCAACAGTGAGCTGTTCCAGTCCTCCCCAGTGTAACACTGTAAAGCAGGCCCCAATTCTGCAAGGACCAACCTTGAAAAAGGCCCCGGCATGTGAGACGCTTCCAATGTGACTCTGAAGGCACAGGGCCTGCCCATGCACGGACCTAGGCTTTTTAGACTGAAGTGAGACCTTATTTTAGGGGTGTACTTGGTAGCCGTGTTGGTCTGAGACAAGAAGACATACAAAAAACTAGAACTCTGGGTTCCAAAATGGTACCTTTTATTAGACCAGCATGGAAATCGCAAGAAAATTGTCCTTTTCTACAAGCTTTTGGGCTCAAAGTCCCTTATCAGGCTCTGGGAAAAGTATAGATGGTACAAGATGGTTAAAAAGTCTCCATAAGTAGGAAGTAAACTTCATTTTTGCACAGAGGGAGCTGAAGATGGAAGGCTGTCCCTCTGGGTCCATGAGAGTGTCTTTGTGTATACAAAAGACACTTTTTCTGCAATTTCCCAGTTGGTTTAATACAAGGTATCATTCTGGAACCAAGAGTTCTAGTTTTTTGTACGACTTTATTTTAGGCACTTAACTTAATATAGGACCATGCTCTTTGTAAAGCCATGTCACACCAGATGCTTGCAGTGCGCAGACTTGTCCATTTGCCCAAACAACCATAGGCAGCTTTCCAAATCTGGCTCTGAATGTGTAACAGTGCGAAGCAGTTTGGAGGAATTTCTAGTCCAAAAGCTCTGACTGCCCTTATCGACTTTGACTCCAGCTATTGCAATGGAGGTGCGCAGAGCAGCAGTAAGCCTGAGATATTTTCTAATTTTTCAAAAGTCTCCTGGGTTGTGTTTCTCTCACACTTGTATGCATCTCCTCTACTGTTTAGCCGTTTCTGCATTAATGGGGTACTGCAGGAGGAGTGACAGCTTGGAGCTGGTGAGCCATCAGAGCTGTGGATGGCTGCACTTTGCGTTGGCACCCAGCATGTGCACGACAAAAGGACACATGACTTCTGTCATAAAGAGCCAGGCAACAGCTGAACTTGAGGCCTTGCGAGTAAGCCCACTGAAGTCAGGAGTTAGGCTATCTGAGTCCGTGGGAATAAAGGATTTACAGTCCAGCCCAACCAGACAAACACAACACACAGTAGGAGACCCAAAGGTACAGTCTTAAGAAATACAGCAAGGTAAACATGTTTAGAGGATGGTTATTAGCTGACAGGAATTGGTATTTGGGGGCCTGGAGGAGTTTGGCTTACCATATAATTTGAAATCTGTCAGTGGGGAAAGAGCAGCTCCACATGCGAACACTTGGTTGTCTTCACCAGCCGGAAGGATGTAAGTGCTCAGATAGCCACCGTAATCCTAGAGTACAAACAGCCACACGTTACCTGAGCATGCAAGACGCCGGACACCACCACAATCATTGCAGACATTAATCAGCATGAAAATGGCACTGCATCATTTTCTTCTAAGGTCTAGCACTTGGGATAATTTAGGTCTACTAACCCATTGATTCTGATGAAAAAAGCAGTATCTGTTCTCATTGTTGCATCTATTTGCATTGTGGTAGCACCTAGAGGCGCTAACCTCATGGAGTTAGGGGTTGTACAAACAACGATGTGCCCACAGCCTGGAATCAAAGGCTGTGTCGACAAGAGGAGCACTTTTCTGGAATAGGAGTGCAAGTGCATTATGCCTGGGCACTGGGAGCCTCCTTACCAGCTAAGAACTGCCTGCCCAGAGGAGCTTTCCATCTATTCACTCCTCTGTGAAATCCTGTGAAAGATGAACTTTAATTTCTACCCAGGAGAACTTTTACAATCATTTCTCCAATGCCCGATGAAGAATGTTTGTGCCCAAAAGCTTCCAATTAAAGATTTTTTTTTTTGCAAAAATCTTGTTGGTTTAATAAAAGAGATCACCTCTACCATGAGCCCCGATTGCTTTTTCCTCTAGACCAATATGGCTACAACCTGGATACCTTACACCTGGGAGGCACTCCTAAGTCTGGATAGCAACGATACTGGCAAAGGTGTACCAGTAATACCATGCCTAAGTGAGAAGCAAGCTATGCTGGGAGTGCTGCATAGCGGGTACAACTGCCTCTATGCACAGAAGTCTGTTGGCAAACTGTTGGTTAAGGATCATACCTCTTCACACTCCTGGCAAATACAGTGATGCCTGCAGAGGACAGCAGTGCAGACAGTGCCCAAGGGAGATTCACTGGGGATGAGCTGATAGGACCTTAGCTTGGCCCTAAGGTGTGCACATCATTACACCACACAAAACAGTGGTAGGGCGAGGCTCAGGAGAGCAGGATGCTCACTAAATAAGAGCTGTTCCAGGCTGCTTACCTACCAATCATTTGGGATGCATTGGGACCAGTGAGGCCCAGTGTGACAAAAACCTGCTGGCATCACACACAGCTGCATGCAGCTGGGCCCGTGGGATTTTCCAGCGATTGGGAAACAGGGTCCCAGGCCCTTGCTGCAGCTCTCCAGTCAGGAAGTCTGATTCTTGCAGTGCCCCGGGAGGCAAATATGCCACTTCGCTTCAGGGTCAGTTTGGCCCAGGTAAAAAACGCAAGCTTGGCCTTGTGCTTGCCCTGGCCCTGTAGCTATTTAGTTTGTACAGCACCTAGCACAATGACTTTGGCTTCATGATGCAGTAAGAAAGACTTTATGCATGGGAGTTACTATCTCAAGAGTCCCAGTTGTCCCCCTGATGATCTGCACATAGGAGGGAACTGTCTTCTTGTAGCACTGTCTCTTGCAGAGGGGATATCACACCCCTCTTCGGTCCTGACTGTGCAGAGGCTGTAGGACATCGTGTGCATGACGCACACTAACTCAAAGCGTTCTGGGGACAGCAGTGCCCATCAGGAGGTCCTGATAATGCAGCAGGCACAGGGGCTCCAGTCATGCCTGCTTTTGGCCCCTGAGAAACCTCCAAGTTTGGGGGCAGCTCTCTTGGTCCCATATGAAAACTCCCCTCTTTCCCCAGGCGCACTTCTGCGGGCTATTTCTAAGTGTGAGAAATAATCTGGGATTGGTCTTGTGAGCAAAGTAGCTCACACATGTGCCTGCAAGTGGGACCTATGTTCACAGGCTTAAATATGGGCTCTGTCTTTTGCCAGGTCTGCAGAGCTGTCGTCTGAGTATCACCCAGGCTTATCTTTCCTGTCTGATCCAATGAATCAATTCCAAATCCCAGAGCCATGGCTTCCCTCGCTCCCTTTGAAATGGTGCCTACTGAGAACTGACATTAGCAGCTCATTCTCTGCACTGGCCTGCAAACAACTCGGATATAGGGATTTTCTTAGCTGGTCAGTACTCCTCACCTCCTATAGTTATAAATCTATTACAACAATGCTTCCCCCCAACGCTCCCTCTGTCTAATGCCCAGTAGCATGCATACTGCAATTAATGCTTCTCAACTCTCCACACACCGTAGTGTGACTCAGCTTCAGAAATCAATAGCATTGTTCACATTTGTACAATACAAGCCAGATGCACCCACAATCCTTAAAAGACACGCTGAAAATTAAGTGAAAGTTCACATAAAAAAATAGTTAAATACCTGACAACATTTTCCTGACAAATAGTTAGTGTGATCGTCCCTTTCAAGCGAAGTTGAAAGGAGACATTGATGAATCGTTGGATGCAATCTTTACGATCTCAAACATCAAGCAATCTATCTTAAAAAAAAACTCAGCGCACACATGCCACTTAGTAAATCAAGATTAATCCCAAAAGGTTAAGTATACCGGCAAGCTAAAATAGAGTATGAATAATGAGAAATATTTACCTTCCCAAATACACCCACTCGCATTTTATCAATATAATGTTCCTTCAACATTGTCCTAAAATATGAAATAGATAAGAAATATTCAGTTAAAAAACATCCTGCCTTCAGCTATAGGAAACGCATGATGTCAGAGCTGGGCTTAAAGATTTCATCATCTTGAGCTGAAGATGACTGCATTATCTACAAGTGATTACACTACAATGATTATGCAGCCCAAATTCATGCTGATGCCTCCTGCTTTCGAGCAGCTCTCTGTTAACGTATGCCTGGTCTTTTTTGTCCTTTGACCTTGGGCGGGATAATGGACTATTCCAGGTCCATCGGGCAGAACATATCTCTTGTGAACCTGAAAGCATCACATGAACTCGTGCGTTTTGTTAATTATGACTGGACAATTGCAGCACAACGTACTACCTGCAAAACTAATAAGAAAATTGCTATCCATGTGCGACTCTGATGGTGTCATTTCTTCCGATCTGGATGAAAATTACAGGCACGGTAGCCCTTTCTGAGGACATGAATCCTGCCAAGCTTCAAGGAGATAGATGCAGGTGTTTCTCAGAAACTACACCTCAAACTTCAAATGTGCCATCAACACACAGATCTGGGGGCTCGCACCCCTGGGAGGGCTGCAGGGCTGTGATGGACTCCTCCCGGGAGTACAGGCCCCTGGATCTGTGCTGGATGACAGGAGGCTGCCACTGCACCAGGGAAGACTGATGCTGCCGCTGGCCCCAGGCAGCAGTGGCAGCCTCCTGTTATCTGGCCCGCAGCGGGAGGTGAAGCACAGTCCTGGCTCTGCCCACCTCCTGCCACCGGGCTCAGCTCCATGGGGCTGCGGAGCCTCTTGGAGCGCAGCCCTGGCTCTCCCCTGCCTCCTGCCATCAGGATGCTTTGAAACTCGAAACGTTTTGAGTGCCATCATTTCGTTTCAAAGCTGTTTCAAAGTTTTTTGTTTTGTTTTGATTTTGCTGTTTCGAGCTCGAAACGTGTCGAAACAGCTTTGAAACAAAACACTCAGTGAAATTTCGCACCGCCCTAGTAGGCAGTGGGAACAGGAGGAGGAACCTGGAGGCTCCAGTGGCAGCAGCAGCCAGAGTGGTGGGGGAAATGGCTCCCACCGGAGGAGCTCTAAGACCACAAGTCAACCCTTCAGGGCTTGGATGCAGCCCATAGACCCTGTGCTAGATGATTAACCTTGAGAAAGTTGGCTTGAACTCAGTAATAGGTTATTGCAACGGTCTCTTGTCTTGTTACAGCAGCTGTTTTCTGTGAAACAGTGTTAAGGCCTCAAAGCTGGTCCTCTTTTAGTATTGCAGTGGGGCTTCATCCGAACCTGAACACTTAAGGACGAATCTCTCTTAGCTGCCTCTCCCAAATATTTTAAAACAGACCTTTGTCCTTAATCCCTATGGATGTCAATATGGGAACACATGCAGTCCTTACATAGTGACCTTCCATTGCCCATAGGGAAATGCGCAGGAAGAGTTTCACGCTCTTTATTCAGCACGTTGCTTCAATTGATTGTGAAACAGCACTCACAGATGTGAGAAGCATGGTTGAATTGGTGCATGTATTCATTTAAAAGGTATTTTCTAGTGTCTGGATCAAAGCAAAGAGCCTTTTAAAACACATTCTCACTACAAATGCTCTTTGCTTCTATACACACAGTGTCACTCACCGGACAGCTTCCAACTGATCCTTCTCTTCTAAAATGCCCAGTCTTCTTCTAACTTCATGTAACAACTTAGTCCCTTGAAATCCACTCCCACGGCCATCAAACTTCATGACCATTGCGTTATGGGAGCTGACCAGCACGCTTTCCCAATTCACTTCAAATTTTTCTGTCACGCTCTGGCTACCGGGCGTTCCATCCCTGAAGCAGGAACAGATGTTGAGCAAATTTATCTTATGTATTCTTAATGAGTAATGCCAAGATGAGCAATCACACTGGGCTAGAACATGGTTATACAATTATAATCTATTTACAAGACAACTGGAAGACCAACCTGCACTGGTGCTATGTGAATTATATGGTGATAGAGTTTAGAAGAGAGCCCCTGGTTATCTGTCTTCATGTTATGCATGGACAGAGAAGTCTGATATGTGGGTGTCTGGTGTTGGGGTGTAGGCTGTAGCAGGGTTTTCTAGCTATTTACCTGCCTACCTTTTCTTGGAGCAGCCATCATTAATGCCTGAGCACTTCATCAAAGTAAGATGTGTACAGAAATATTGGGTAGGATCCATGGATAAGTAAAATTTGGAGAGGGGCCACAGATGTCAACAGTGAGATGTCGGTTGATACCAGCTGAAGTGCTGACCTCAGCCTACATTTACTTCTCTCATTTCCATCCCTCTGGTCTGGAGGGACTCAGTTTGCTGCTGGTGGTGGGGTGGACTGGAGTGTTGGTGGGGGGTTTTGGCAAGGTAGCTGTAAAGATGCATTACAGAAAGGTTTGGAGAGAGGAACCTACATTCATTCACTCTGTCTCATGATTAGGCACTGGTCTTCCAGCTCTCCTTGCTTCAGCCATCACAGGTTTCTCCTCTCTTGGAGGCCTGTGCTGCATACCCAGCCCCTGCTGCGCTGCACCTCGCTTTGTCACATTGCATGCTCCCCCCGCAAATGCTGCAAATGAACCAGCAGTGCTGCAACAGCACCCCCACACCACGTGGGCCTGGGCTCCCTCAGTCCCACAGACTCAGAGGACTGTGGACTAGTATCTATAGATGGGATTGTCACTCATCTGGTGCCACTATTGTTTCAAATAGGCAGAACAGAAAGGCAAATTAAAGGAGAGAAAAACAGATGATGAGACAAAGGACTTCAAAACCTGTCCGGTTCTGGCTGCAGTGAGTGAGTGCAGTGCCCAAATGAATGGGGGCCCCCCCAAGCCTGCGAGGCAGAGCAGAGACACCATACACTCTTACGTCCCTAACCCAGCTGTTTTTTGTGGTGTCCAACCATGCAGTTTTCTCTGCCAGATTAGGTCCTTGCATTACCCTGCCTGCTCTCTGAAGCAGTCTCAGGCTTACAAATGTCATGAGAAATACACAGGATCACATGAACCTGCAACCACAACTAAGCTGAACATTTGCTTCAACTCTGTTGTTCCAAGTAGAAAAAAGAGGACACGGCTGCCAGGGGAAAAGACGTTGTTTAGTTTGTGCTAAATGATTAGGGAGTGCTGGCACTTGTACCCACTTCAGCCATGTTTGTGAATTCCCAGAGACAGGAGGAAAAAACCTGTCACATTTTTGATGTGCATGTGACTTTAGTTGTTTGCATTGACTCAACAAACGACCAGACACATCCAGGTTCAGAGGCAGCCTAATCAAGTGTTGTTAGCTTGATGAGTACCAATCTTTCTCAAGCACTTGTATAATGAAGTACATTTTCTGCAAGATAATTTGGTGGTGTAACGGCATGTTTAGTGCGGTGGTTTTGCCCTTCGTCAAGGGAAGCTGCAGGATGGTGTTTTGGTATTCAGCAGCAATTGCCTCCTTCATTCCTCTATCAGACCCCTTTCTCTGGGCAAAGTGAATCTGAACTTGAAAGTACAGCTAATCAGTAAGACACAGGAAAGCCATGGAAGACCTTTGAAGATTTTTCCAAATTCATCTAATACTTCTCATCAATTCTTTAGGCATTTTTGGAAAATCTCAGGTTTATGATCATCCCCTTCAAAAATAGATGACAGGCTTTTGCAAAAACCTAGCAGCAAAAGCTGTCCAAGTACAAGCCACTGGCTGATACCCTGCAGGAGAAGGGATACAATGTGATGGTGCAAGTGCAGGACACTGGGGCACTTGGAGCATGCGACTTGCGCAACCAGAATATCCTGAAAGCCTGTAGGGTACTCTGTTGCTACTCAAAGCAGGTTAGACATTGCTGTTTCTAAAACCAAAGGGCAGGGCAACTATACATGGAAGTTTTTATGCAAGCAGCCCATTATAGAAAGTAAGTACTTTAAAGGTTCTAACAGAAGTAATGGTTTGTCATGTGATTGGGCCCCTGAAATGCTCTACAGCCACACAGTGACAGAAGGACATGGCTGTGGAGCACTTTAAAAATGCTCGATCATGTGACAATCTGAACCCTCATTATATGAGGGTTCAGATGAAGGTACTCCAAAGCAGAGCGTTTCATTAACGTCTGCCAGTGCATGCCAGGAGTGGGGCTGAAGAAGCCCAGCCCTGTCCCCAGTGCTCCCTTCAGAATGGGAGGGGGAGAAGGCAGGGAGGGAGCTCCATCTGGGGCCTGCACTGAAGGGTGGCACGGGTGGATCCAGCGCAGGCTGGGCAAACCCCAGACCGGGCTCCCTCAGCCCTTTCCCCTTCTCATTCTGAAGACAGCACGGGAGCTGGGAAGGGAGAGGGGTGGGGCTAGGGGAGAGCAGCTGTAGACAAGCAGCCACTCCAAAATGCAGCTCGATCCATCCCCCAACCCCACAAACTCAACAAAAAAAATCTGTTGGGTTCAGGGGATTGCTGTAACTCAAGGCGCTTCCTGCAAAGCGCTATGAGTTGCAGCAGGGTGCTGCACATCTGTCAGCACCCTTAGTGCTTTTAAGTTGCCAGTACAGTCTAGAAGGAAGACAACACACCTTGCAATGCAGCATTTGAACATGAGTGGGCTCAGCCAGTCCTGTCAAGGGAGTTCTAAGCAATTATAATATTAGCATAGCTAGGTGTGCGTGAACTGGGCTGAGAGAGGGTGCAAAAATGACAGTCACCTCTGTTGGCCTGGCAACTGTCATTATCCAGGGCCTAAAAACATCCTAGTTATGCCTCCTAATTGAGGATTCATGCCAGGGAGGTGGGATGGGGAGGATACAGGTTACAAAAAATGACTCCTTCACTTAGTTGCATAGTTGAGAAAAACTGAGTTTGCAATTCTCTGCTGGGTTTAAAGCAAATGCTTGGTAAGGGTCTGTCCATTTTTGGCCAGGGCAATTTACAGGGTTTATGGATATGTTTGAAAAAACTGCTGACCAGTTTGGAAGAGTGGAGTGGAGCTGACATTATATGTGGTGGAGAGCTGATAGAAATTATTCAGAGAAAGCACTATCTGAAGCCCTACCTGAAGATCTTTTAAGGAAATCCCTTGTTTCTACTCCTCCTACTCTGCACTTCTTTCCTGGTCTCACTGAAAATAGCAGCAGGTGGTGAATGTGAACTACTTGCTCAGATTTCTCTTGATGAATTCTCTGGAAGGCAGCCCACTGTTTTAAGGCTTCTTTGTAAACCTGGGATAGCTTGATGTTAAGATGTTTGAGTTTCCTTTAACTCTAAGAGTGTGTCTATGCTGCAGCACTGGTGTGTCTGAGGAGGGTGCTCCCAACATGCCCTGCCCACCCACTTGTAACCAAACTGAGAAGTGCACCTTGGACATTTCCTTGTGGCTACTCTCAAGACCACAGTCTCCACAGTGCTTGAAAGCAGCTAGAAGGGATGGCCCCAGCATGTGTGAGTAGGTATGTGTGGCTGGGTGCTTGAGAACATGTTTCCCTAAGCATGCTGGTGATGAGGTGCAGCACACCCTAAAGGTCCTTGATATGGGAGACCTGGTTTAATCCCTTCCTCCACCTTATTTGGGTTCAAATCAGATGGAGAAAGGACTCAAATGTGCATCCTCCCAGCTCTCAGGAGGGGGGATGACACTGGATGACATATTCTTAGGGTGGTCTCTCTCAATCTCTCCTGTAGAAGCTGTCCCACTTCCATATCTAAAAAGCAGAGATCAGTATCTGACTCTCCCATATTCAAACACCAACCACCCAAATAGAGTCAATTGTTATTATTTTCCCTTCTCTTTCCCCATCTTCAGTGACTATTTAATCATGAATGTAGAGCAGATCAGGATCTACAGGAGAGATGGAGAGAGCTATAATTCAGAATCCCCCATAGTCAACAGATACGGGCACTTTCCTAAGAGCTGCAAAAGACCATGTAGGGCCAAGACCATATTCCCAATGTGGCAGAGGTTGGATTTGAACCTGGGTCTAGAAGGCAAGCACTTCACTAACCAGATGAAGTTTAACACTTC